AAACTCCTGTCCTCAAGCAATCTTCCTGCCTCAGCCTCCCAGGTAGCTGGGATTACAGGCACCTGCCATAACACCTGGCTAATTTTTCTATTTTTAGTAGAAATAGGGTCTCACTTTGCTCAGGCTGGTCTCAAGAGATTCACCTGCCTCAGCCTCTAGAGTGCTAGGATTACAGGCATGAGCCATAGCACTGGCTCAAGAAGTTTTTAAATAAATGAAATGTAGTCCTGCCAAAACAGTAAATCTGGGTTTCAAGGAAAAAACCAACTTATGTACAGTATAATCCTAATCCTTTTAAGAAATATATTTAACAACTGGACCAAGTCACAAAAGGATAAATACTATATAATTCCACTTATACGAAGTAGTCAAAAGTAGTCAAAACCATAGAAACAACACTATAAATATATATGTTTTATTTGTCAGTTAAAAATAAATGAGTCGGGCGGCGCCTGTGGCTCAAGGAGTAGGCCACTGGCCCCATATACCGGGGGTGGCGGGTTTGAGCCTGGCCCTGGCCAAAGCTGCAAGCAAATAAATAAATAAGTCAAAATTATAGAAACAAAGTAAACAGGTAATTATCAAGGGCTGCTGGGGAGAGTCAGCGTCTGATGTGTACAGAGTTCTAGTGTCACAATGTGAATATACTTACCACTGCAGAGCTGTATGCTGAAAGCCAGTTGAGATGGTAAATTTAATATCACATGGTTTCTCTATAGTAAAAAGAGTAACTCAGGCCTTTGCTACCTGAGAGCAAATACCTTATATCGCTGGTTAATGAGATTGAGGATGGTTCGCATTATGGAAAGAACAGTGTCTTTAAACCCAAACAGACCTGGATTTAAGATTAACTTTGCCAGGTGCTGAGTGTTCTTTTCTACTCTGACCCTCTGTTTTCTATGTCGGTAAAAGTGGGAAAATTGGGATAATGATTCCTACCCCCAACACCTTGAGCCACAAGTGCCGCCTGACTCATTTATTTTTAACTGACAATAAAACATATATATTTATAGTGTTGTTTCTATGCTTTTGACTACTTTTGACTTACCCTGGCACAGAGATAGGGTCTTATTCTGTCACCCAGGCTGGAATACAGTGGTGTCATCATAGCTCATAGCAACCTCAAACTCCTGAACTCAAGCAATCTTTTTGCCTTAGCCTCCCAAGTAGCTGGAACTACAGGCACATGCTACCATGCCTGGCCAATTCTGAGATGGGGTCTCACTATGTCACCTAAACTAGCCCTGAAGTGTTATTTTAACCAATGTTTTTTCCTTATGTTTTTATATTCCCAGTGATTTCTGTGCATTACTGTGTGAATCAGAAAAAAGATTATTAAAAAAAGAACCCAGTGGTGTCCCCCTATCCATTCCTACCAGTTATGTCATTGTGGTTTCTACCCTTCGGCATTAAATAGTGCATTGTGTTTGCAGCAGTGTTGTAAGAATCATTCAGGGCCCCTTGATTGGATGCAGGCTCTGGGATGCACAGAAAGGCTGCTGAATAACCCTGCAAGTCATGCACAGGATGGGCAGTGGCAGGCTCCTTCCTGCTAACCAGTTCCCATCTGGGGAACTTAGCCCTGTAGCTGTCTCTTTCTTATCCTGTTCATTCTCAAGAGGCCAGAGGCCTGAGGAGTAAAGGACGCCTTTGTTGAAAGAGTGTTTTCAAATTTAAATGAGCATTTATTGGTCCAAGATGGACTAACCAGTCCTTTGAGGAATTCAAGGCCCTTTAGAGGAAAATAAAGCCTTGGAGAAGTGTCTGAGAAGCTTGTTAGATGCGTGGGAAGGGTCTGGAAATAAAAAACCCAGTCTGGAGTTTTTGCCTTCTACCAACAAAGCTAAAGCTATTGCTCTCCTAAGCCAAGGAAAACAGGTGCTTTAAGTCCTTTCTTTCTTTCCTTTTTTCTTTTTTGTAATGGACTGTGTCTGATGTTGGGCTGACATGGTACTCTAATAGAATTGGAGTCTGCAGTTTTTAACGTCCTCTGGTATGTTCTGGTTGGTAGTTGAGGGCAGCAAGCCAACAGTCCCAAATGCTGGCTCTGAGACCTCAGACAAGACCATTGCCACTCAGAGCGTCATTACTATTTCCACCTTGCCGACTCACAGGGTAGGGAAAAGTGTAGGAGATGTAAACATTTAGTGTCATTAATCCTACTCTGATTCTGAAAGCTGTCCTCTTTCTACATGATCTCCTCTTTGTAAATACTAAATTAAGGACATTCTTTTATGGTGCAAACTGTGTACTCACACAAATGGAAAGGGTGAAGAGATAACAAAACACGAAGCAATGATGACACAGTGCTAACTTGGTCTTGTTTTATTTTCTTCGTGCTTCATTCCACCTGATCCCCTAGAGTGGCGTCTTAACAATTAAACTGGGTGGAGATCTAGGAACCTATGTGATCAACAAGCAGACTCCAAACAAGCAGATCTGGTTATCTTCTCCATCCAGGTATGCTCAGAAGTCAAAATCTGTGATCATTAAACTCAGTTGAAATGTGACATGGTGGGCCGTTTAAGAAGTGTCACCCTGGGCTCGGCACCTGTAGCAGAGCGGTTACAGTGCCAGTCACATAGGCTGAAGTTGACAGGTTTGAACCCAGCCCAGGCCAGCTAACCAACAATGACAGCTGCAACAAAAAATAGCCGGGCGTTGTGGCAGCCGCCTGTACTCCCAGCTACTTGGGAGGCTGAGGCAAGAGAATCACTTAAGCCCAAGAGTTGGAGGTTGTTGTGAGCTGTGACACCACGGCACTCTACCGAGGGTGACATAGTGAAACTCTGTCTCAAAACAAACAAAAAAATGTGTCACCCTGGTATGCCAGTATCCATGTAAGTAAGCCCTTCGGGATGTTTTATAAGCTGTCTTATTCTCTGTAGGAAAGTTTACTCTGATTATATAACTTCTCCTTACTGGTAATTTGACTTATCATAAGCAGAGGGAGATGTTAGGGTCTAAGATGAAACATTTATAATTTCTCAGAACCTGGCTTAGATAGTTTTTCTCTATTAAATCATTGCCCTGGCTCAGCACCCTTGGCTCAGTGGTTAGGGCACCAGCCACAGACACTGGGGCTGGTGGGTTCGAACCCTGCCAGGGCCCACTAAAACAACAACAACAACAAAAATAGCTGGGCATTGTGGCAGGCATCTGTAGTCTCAGCTACTTTGGAGGCTGAGGCAAGAGAATCAGGTGGCTGTGAGCTGTGACGCCATGGTACTCTACAAAGGGCGACAAAGTAAGACTCTGACTCAAAAAAAAAAAAAATCATTGCCCTACCTTTTGAAAAGCTTCTTTTGATACTGCAGCATCTGAACAAGGTGCACTTTGTCTTAAAAGCAAGTGAAAGTTTGACCTTTCTTTGTTTTGAGCGTCTCTGCTAAAAGGTTAGTTGAATTCCCTTTGCAAAACTGGGTCCTGTACCCTATGAAGATAGAGTGTTTTAAGTTGCTTTTCAAGACATTTAATTCCTCCTGCCTTTTCCATTGATGTGCTTTCAATCTAGCAAAATAAAAGATTGTGTTGGAGACAGAATGGGGCCTGCCCAGCATCTGAAAGCGTGAGAACATATAGAGAGAGGCATCCTTCTTCCCTCATCAGTCAGGCTGCTGTTGAAGTGGTTGTCAAAGTAAAACAGAAACACCCACAAAATGCTCTCAGACCAGCCTCCCTCAGTCATACATTAGCACTTCCAAAGAGAACTTGTCTGTGAATTGGGAAAGGCTCAAATAGAACCAGCTTGGCATTCTTTGAAAGCTTGATGGTATTTACATTTTTAAAAATTATAACCTTACCCCATATCATTGACCTCATTTTTAGGCAGTTAATATTATACCATTTGTCATGCTGTGATGTGTAATTCTTTCTTCTAAATAAATAAAGCTGTTCTGCCTCCTTCATCCCAGTCTTCCTAGTTCAACACTAGAAGTCACTGTCCTTTCTAGTAAGGACCTAATTCACAGATCGTGTTGCTCCTGTAGACCCAGTTCATTTTCTGGAGATTGGAGGGTTTTAACCTGCATGGGCCCATTAGCCTCGCTGGCCTAGAGCTGTCTTCCTGAACATGGCCAAGCATGAGGAACTGGTGCAGGCAACTGGGGGGATCAGCTCAAATCCAGGAATCACTTCTGGGGATCCGAGGCTTTGTAAATACAAGGCAGGGCACCGATATCAGCTGTGATGGCTTCACTGAAAGAATTCTCTCCCTATCTGGAGACTGGAAAAGTCTGTATTGTATTTGGACACACCAACCAGCAATTGGATCCTACTCTAGCTGTGTCCGAAGAATATACAGCTGGATGATAATAACTTCCTATTGTAAGTGTACTTTTATATTTTGAGACACAGTCTCACTCTGTCACCCTGAGTAGAGTGCTGTGGCGTCATGGCTTATAGCAGCATCACTCATGTTCCTCAAAAAAAAAATTTTTCTTTTCCTTATCAGCTTTTTTTTTTTTCTTTTTGAGACAGAATCTCACTCTGTCTACAATGCCATGGCTTCATACCTCATAGCAACCTCAAACTCTTGGGCTCAAGCTATTCTCTTGCCTCAGTTTCCCCGAGTAGCTGGGACTAAAGGCACCCGCCACAACGCCTGGCTAGTTTTAGAGACAGGGTCTCGCACTTGCTCAGGCTGATCTCAACTCATGTGCTCAGGCAATCCACCCACCTTGGCCTCCCAGAGTTCTAGGATTACAGGCAAGAGCCACCACACCTGACCCTTCTCAGCTTTTTATATTGGTCCAAAATATCTTTCAGAGGGCTAATTTGGGGTTTTTTTAGTTGACCACTTTTCACATCCTGTGGAATAAGCAATGTTTCTTGGCCACCTTGCCCACCCTGAAGTTTTGGGATGGAATAAAGGAGAGGTCTGGGGGACACCTGAATGTTAGTGCCTGGCTCACAACCCTTGGAGCAGTATGGAAGGGTCTGGAGGTTCTGCCTGGCCACATTGTAGCAGCCTCTAAGTACAGGGCCAAGGGAATGTTCTCCCTGGATGTGGTCTGGATTATTGGGACATGCTGGAACCCCAGCATTTGGTTGCTAACATAAGAATCCTTGGTGATCCTTCCCTTCCAAACTGCTCTCCCTGGCAAGCTCCTCCCAGCCTGTGTCTTTGGGAGAGCTCTCCTGTCTTTGAGAGTGCTCCAGGGTGACTCAAGTATCCCCTTCCTTAGGCTCCTCACGTGCTCTGCTCTTACCTTCAACATAGTGCCATCACGGGGCAGTGTCACCTGATGCTATGTCCACCCCTAGCCATGCGGCCATGATGAGGTAGAATTTGGCATACATGTCGTGTCCATCTGATAAGCTGTGGCAGATTTATCTACAACTACCAACTTGTCCACACACATACAGCATTCTCAAAGTGAAAGGCACATGTCATTGGCATTGCTTACTAGATGAGCTTGAGGTGGATGAACTGGCCCATCAGACTTGCAACTTCGTGGATTTAACATTGAATTAAGAAAAAAAAAAATGGGCAGCACCTGTGGTTCAGTGGGTAGGGCACTGGCCCCATATACTGAGGGTGGTGGGTTCAAACCCAGTCCCAGTCAAACTGCAGCAAAGAATAGCCAGGCGTTGCAGTGGGCGCCCGTGGTCCCAACTACTCAGGAGGCTGAGGCAGGAGAATCACCTAAGCTCAAGACTTGGAGGTTGCTGGTTGCTGTGAGCTGTGTGACACCATGACATTCAACTGAGGGTGATAAAGGCTTCTTTTTTCTACAAAAAAGAAGAAAAAAATGTAATAGTTTTTTTTTTTTTTTTTGAGACAGAGCCTCAAGCTGTCCCCCTAGGTAGAGTGCCGTGGCATTACAGCTCACAGCAACCTCCAACTCCTGGGCTCAAGCAAGTCTCCTGCCTCCGCCTCCCAAGTAGCTGGGACTACAGGCGCCTGCCACAACGCCCGGCTATTTTTTGGTTGCAGCCGTCATTGTTGTTTGGCAGGTCCGGGCTGGGGATTCAAACCCGCCACCTTAGGTGTACGTGGCTGGCGCCTTAGCCGGTTGAGCTATAGGCGCCGAGCCAAAAATGTAATAGTTTAGGTAGTTGCTGAAGGGCTGACAGAGGAGGGAACAGTGAACAACCGCTCACTGGGTACCGTCTGCCCTCTTACCTTAGAGTTTCATATCTGTAGACTCAACCAACGGCAGATCAAAAATATTTGAGGAAAAAAAAGAATACAATAATTAAAAACATAAATAAACGGTATAGCAACGATGGAGCATTTGCGTTATAGGTATTACAGGTAATCTAGAGATAGCTTAAAGTATACAAGAGAATGTGTGTAAGTTATATGAAATAGTGTCACTTAGGGATTTGAGCATCCACAGATTTTGTTATTTGTGGGGGTACGAGAACCTGTCCTCCTTGCATACTGAGGGGACTCCTTCTGGGGGACAGATGTTTGGGACTAGATAGAGGTAGTGCTTGCATAACATTGTGAATAACACTAAATGCCGCCGTATTGTTCGTTTTTAAATGGTTACATTCGTGTTATATGAATTTCACCTCAGTGATTAATAAAAGTTTAGGTAAGGCACAAATTATGTCAGTGGGACAAAAAATCATAATTTTAAAGACACCTGTGTAACGTAGCAGGTGTGAAATGTGAGGTAGAAAAACGAGAAATCAGAATGTGGTATGTGGATATTCATCCATAAGGGTCATGTGTTTACAGGTCTCGAGAATGTTCTGTGAATCGTCACAGAGGATAAAGTGTGTGACTGTTCTTAAATGGAAGACCCTAAGACAAGAAATCAAGTATATAATGTCCCTTGTTAAGTATTACTGTCTGGTGCTTCTCTCCAGTCCATTTCTTGGTTGGCAGCGTTGGTGGCATCAGTGATCTTTCCGAAGGTCTTGTCCTCGTGGACTTACTGTGTATTTGTTTTGTCTTCCAGTGGGCCCAAGCGCTATGACTGGACTGGGAAGAACTGGGTGTACTCTCACGACGGAGTGTCCCTCCACGAGCTGCTGGCGGCCGAGCTGACTAAAGCCTTAAAAACCAAAGTGGATTTATCTTCCTTGGCCTATTCTGGAAAAGGCCCTTGACGCCAGCCCAGTCTTGAAGCTGTCGGGCTAACCCCCAGCCTCATTCTGCAGTTAAGCGTGTGTGTCTTCCCACCCCTGCTTCTGAGGACAGTCGAACTGTGCGTAACAGCTCTATAAAAAGAATGTGTTGCCTTCCACCCTGCCCCCAAGTTCTGACTTTTAATTTCTACAGAGATTTTCTTTTTTGCATCTATTGTCTGATTTCCTCCTTCACATGCAAAATGTACCTCTTATCTTTTTTAATGTTTTCTACCTATACCTTAATAAGTAACCTCACAAAAAGAAAAAAGAAGAAGAAAAAAATTGCAGGAGGAGAAATGAATTATCTTCCCTCTTGATTCTTGGAAGGATTTACTGCAAAAACTATATGAAGAGGGCTGGCCCTTCTATTTTAAAATGACACTCATTAAAGGGTAGCCCATAAATGTTCCCAAGCCTCTTTCAAAAAGTAAGCATTTTTTGAGCTCACTAGCATTAAAGTGTCGGAAGTAACTCAGGTGGGAAGAGCATCTTCCATTGTGCTTTGTGCCTACACTGGGTTATCCAGGGAGACCTGCTGCTGTTTCTTCCACGTACTCCTTCCTGTGTGTACACATACCTTTTTTTTTTTTTTTTAATTTAAAGGTCAGTATTCAATCAACTGCTGCAATACAAGTTGGAGAATGCAAAAAAATCTCCCAAAGACAAAAGGGAGGATGAGAGGAAGCAATTTCCATGAGCTGAGTGATACAGTTTAATAAACAAGATCATAGAGCTAAGGAGTCCCTTATAAACATGAAGGGTCATATAAATGAAAGAGATACTCGATAAAAAGAGCCCTGGTCCTAGACACAGCTCAGCCACATGCATATCTGTGGACAGGCTGCACACACTTCTGGGCCCTCTGTTTTCCTGTCGGTTACACAAGAGAATAGAGTATAGTTGAGTCTCCACATTCACTGGTCTTATCAGACAGCCTAGCAGGCTAACGTTAATTCCTGCTGGGTAGATGAGGGGAAGGCAATGAACGATTTTTTAAACCCTATTGTAAATAGACATATTGCTATTGCTGTTGCCCATTGGAATTCCAGCTAAAATAATAATCATCCTTTATTGTGCACTTACTAGGTTATTTTACCTGTTTCACCTATTACCTCATTTTCATTTTTATTGACCTGCACTTTTTATTATACGTGAAGCAACAAGGCTCCAGGACATTAAAATTCACTCAAAATTATCTTGTGTTGTTTTCTTACCAAAGATTCATCACTGACAAGTCTGGGAATGTATAGCCAAGGCTTCTGCCATGGGTGAACAAAACTCCTTTATTTTTTTTTTTTGAGACAGAGCCTCAAGCTGTCCCCCTGGGTAGAGTGCCATGGCATTACAGCTCACAGCAACCTCCAAACTCTTAGGCTCAAGCGAGTCTCCTGCCTCCGCCTCCCAAGTAGCTGGGACCACAGGCGCCCGCCACAACGCCCGGCTATTTTTTGGTTGCAGCCGTCATTGTTGTTTGGCGGGTCCGGGCTGGGGATTCAAACCCACCACCTTAGGTGTACATGGCTGGTGCCTTAGCCGGTTGAGCTATAGGCGCCGAGCCCAAAACTCCTTTATAGACAAGAAGAACTATTAACAATAGAGCTCTCTACACAGATACTTACTGGGGACTTAAAATATTTTTTTCTTCAGAAGTAAAACAGTTTTTAGACTGGTGGAAATGTTCTAAGTGGAGTAGGTCAGCCCCAGTGGAATGTGTGTTTGTGTGTTTATGTCTTGCTTCTAATGAAATTTTCATTGCGCCTCACTTGCTTGGAGTTCGGTGACGTGGTGCATTCCTCTATCCGGAATAGAACGCAAATGTAAGTAGGGAGTGAGGCTGCTGTAGCACAGAAATGGAAGTTAACACATCTGTGCTTGGCAGGCATGGAGACTTCCAGCTGTGATCCTAGTACTCTGGGAGGCTGAGGCCAGGAGTTCCAGACCAGCCTTCGCAATGTACTAGACCCTAGCTCTACAAAAAAAAAAAAAAAAAAAATGACCTAGACATGGTGGCTTGCACCTATAGACCTGGCTACTCAGGAAGGTGAGACAGCAGCACCTCTTGAGCCTGGAAGTTAGAGGTCACGGTAGGCTGTGATTGTGCAGCTACACCCCAGCCTGGCTGACAAAACCTGTCTAAAAAAGAACAAAATGATAATTTGACAAGCAAACTGGACATTTATCACAATGGAGGCCAACAGCACCCTCCACCTCAGACCCTAGGTACATCACTTAATTGATGATGTAGTCCAGTCTCCTGTGTTAAGGATGAGTTTTCAGGGAAAGGTTGTTAAATATTCAGTATAAAATGTTAAAAGGAAATGTACAATAAAAACTTGAAAAGCCTTTTCTCTTATAGGTAGATCCTCAGCCATATAGAAAATAAAACATTTCAAAATGATTTAATTTATCTCTATTTGGAGTTATGGAGAAGCCCTGAGGTGTGTGTGTAAGGCAGAACCTGAGGTTTTATTTTTTGAGACATTCTCATTCTGTGCCCTGGGTAGAGTGCCATGGCATCATTACTGCTCACAGCAAACTGAGGCCCTTGGGCTCAAAAGATCCTCTAGCCTCAGCCTCTCAAGTAGCTGAGACTACAGGCACCTGCCACAATACCGTGCTAGTTTTTCTATTTTTAGGAGCATAGAGGTCTTGCTTCTGCCCAGGCAGATCTCACACTCTGAAGCTCAAGCATTCTACACACCTCGGCCTCCCAGAATGCTAGAATTACAGGCAGAAGCCACCTTGCCTGGCCTCAAATGATAGGTTTACAATGTGCTTTCTCCAACTATACCTGCCCCAAATTCTGACACATCACTTTGCCACCTCTAAAGAATGACCTATGTTCACAGAGATGAAGTTTGTATGAATTGACTATGCAAAGTTGCCAAGAAAAACTAGCTTCACACTTCCAAGGTACACATGAAGATTAAATTAATTTTAGTCCATGTCTAGTTAACTTCTTGGCACGTATTTATCTTTTGCAAACTAAAATAGTACATACCAGAAAGGGGGGAAAGGGAGGGAAGGACACAGTTTTGAAATTTCATATAAATTTATGCTGTTGCTCAAAACTACAGCTTCATGACTGTCTTTTTATGTATAAAGAAATGCTTTCAAATCTTCGGCTTGAATGAACCATGACCTTGAGGGTGCATCCTAAGGTTCCGATTAGTATCCCCTGTGGAATGTGTAAGACTGAGCTCACTTACATCCCAGCATCCGTTACAGAGGCAGGATCCAAGCTCATCTGTTCCGTCTTCTCTGGCTGTGTCATTTAAGAAATAGAGTGCACCGGAACAGATTTATTGAAATGTTTATTAGCTGAAGATTTATTTAGACTGTTGAAGAAAACACCTGCACCCAGCAGTTAAAATTGGCTCCCAAAGATTTTTCTTCTACTGTGAGAAGAAAAGTGAGGCCTCTGAGGCCCCATCCAAGCATAAATGCAACTACCAGACAGGGCTCTACTATCCCTTTGTATTTCTGTGTCTGTGGGATCATGGATAATACCACATCTTTTTTTTTTTTTTTAATAGATAGAGTCACTCTGGTGTTCCACTCGAGAATGCAGTGGCCTCCACCTAGCTCACGGCAACCTCAAACTTCTGGGTTCAAGCGATCTTCTTGCCTCAGACTCCTGGGTAGCTGGGACTATATGTACCTGCCACAATGACCAGCTAATTTCTCAGGTTGGTCTGAAACTCCTAAGCTCAAGTGATCCACCTCCTTTGGCCTCCCAAGTGCTAGGATTATAGGCATGTGCCACCAGGCCCCTGGCAGTAATGCCCATGTTGGTCTCAAAGTTTTTAGTTTCCATTTCTGCCGTCTTTAGTGGAAAAGTGGCTAAATTATAAAAAAAAAAAAAAAAAAAGACAGGGTCATTATCCAATTAATGTTCTTTTCTTAACCTCCTTTACAATGCCAGCTGAGATTTTTCCAAAATAAACTGGCTTAAATAAAACCCTAAGAGGCCAGGCAGGGTGGCTCGTGTCTATAATCCTAGCACTCTGTAGCACTCTGGGAGGCTGAGCTAAGTGGATTACTTGAGCACAGGAGTTGGAGACCCCCCTCCAACTATTTTTGGAGAAAATAGCAAAACTAGCCAGGCAAGGTGGCAAGCACCTGTAGTCCCAGTGAGCGGGGATACCTGGAAAATGTAAGGTCTCAAAGAACAAAATCCTCCCCATGGTGACTCAGCTCTTAGGAATTTGTAGAAACTTAACTTCCTAGGACCTTGAAACTGATGCCTGCTTCCCCTTATGTCAAAGCCTGAGCCCCCTTCTCCAGCTCAGTTCAAACTGACCAGTGAGAAGGGTACCCATGGACAAAGAACCCTTGGCTGGAGATAAAAGGAAAAGCACAGAGACAATCGGGGAGCGCATTGGTTTTTTGGACATTAGTCCGCCGTGGCTCTGCCGGCTGAAATAAAGCTCTTCCTCCATATCTTGGTGTTTAGGTGTTTGTGTCTCTGCCAGGCCCTTATCTTCCTGCAACACCAGCTACTTGGGAGGCTAAGGCAAGAGGATTGCTTAAGCCCAAGAGACTGACGTTGCTGTGCAATAGGCTGATGCCAGGGCACTCTACCCAGGGGGACAGAGATTCTAACTCAAAAGGAAAAAAAAAGTGAACCCTAGGTCTCTAAGACCCTTGCAGGGGATTTGTGATGTTCTGTTTTCCAACTACATCGGCTGCATATCCATGTTGTTACCAGATGAACAGTGTCTGGCCACCTGTCACTGTTGGCCAATATGTAGAGATAGAGTTAGGTCCACCAAGCTATTTGTCAGAAGGCCAGCAATTCTAGAACAGTGAGAATAGCCTCTCCAAGACTATTCTGTTCGTTCGTTTGTTCTTTTTTTTTTTTTTTTTTTGAGACAGAGCCTCAAACTGTTGCCCTGGTTAAAGTTCTGTGGCATCACACCTCACAGCAACCTCCAACTCCTGGGCTTAAGCAGTTCTCTTGCCTCGGCCTCCCAAGTAGCTGGGACTACAGGCACCCGCCACAACACCTGGCTATTTTTTTTTTTGGTCTTAGTTGTTGTTTTGTAGCCCTGGGCTGGATTCGAACCCACCAGCTCTGGTGTATGTGGCTGGCACCTTAGCCGCTTGAGCTATAGGTGCCGAACCTGTTCTTTCACTTCTAAAATTACAGTTTTATATATAAAAGTTTAAAGCAAAGACCACATTAACCCCTATTTTAAATAATAATCAGCATAACTCAGTGACCTAGTACAAAATTCCAATTTAAAAGTTAAACTCCACTCTGGGAGGCTGAGATAGGTGGATTGCCTGAGCTCATGGGTTCAAGACCAGCCTGAGCAAGAGGGAGACCGCATCTCTAAAAATAG